GTTATTCAATTATTACTGATCCCTACATTCTATATTATTTGTACTTTACTACACAAATTATATCAGAATAAGAACTGTCAAAACTGAAACAAAGAGGACCAAATTTGAATCACTCGTTCCTTCCATCTTTCAACTAGAGGGGGAAGAAAAGTAACACACTACAAAGAAAATTATTATAAACCTTGAGGCCTTGAACTAAGATTTTGAGATTTTATTTTCCCTAAAGTATTTAATTTTGGAAAAGGCTATATCAATTTTATTTTGGGGATACACATCTATATAATTTTAAGAGGGTCTCCCTAGGAAAATGTAAGCATTCCATTATCTCTAACACTTTTCTTTCTCCATTTAATAATATTAATAAAAATCAAAAACATTAAAACAAAAGCAGGTAAAATGATTAAATCACCCTAGAGGAGGAATCACTATCAAAGTGACATCCAGGAACTGGTCTGACACTTACAGCTAGACTCAATGTTGTTAGGGGCTTGCTTGGTGCTCATAGCGAGGCTGTGTTATCTCCTGTTGGATCTAAAACCATCACAGAGAACATTAACAGCAGACAAGGTCACTCTGAGACCCTGATAAAGTGAGATGAAATGAAACAAGGTCACAGCTCAACCCACAGAGTTCCAAACATTATCTTCTCTCAGCTAATATGAGTGACTGCCACTTCTTCATGAATTAAAGCAAGTTTTCCCTCCTCCTGGATAATTCATTAAGATACCTAATAACAGATTTTTCCCCCATCCAGACATTCTTTTTTTTTCAGACATTCTTAAATCCAGAACAAAGTCCCACTTCCTAAAACCCTCCTTAAAATCACCCCAAGCAAGCCCAAACTCTTAATAAATCTTTCTAACACCCTCTTAATGAGATGCTCCACCATTCCCTATGTTCATTTTCCCTCAATGCCAAGCATAGTGAGTCCAACTTGCCTAAGTAAAGTGTCATCCAGATGGTATTTGACTATAGGGTACCGACACAATAATAATACTGATACTTATATACGATTTGCTGTTCAGATTCTTACAGCATCTCACAAGTTCTGTAAAATGGGTATGCTATCGTCCCCATTTTATAGATGAAGAGATTAAGAATCAGAGGATTAACACAGTTATTAAAAGATGACACTTAAATTTAAGTAAGTGTTCTCTTGTGAAAGTCCAACTTCTGCCACATTACGTCAATGTTTTATTAAATACATACCCAGAAAATGTTCTGTAATTTTTGGAGGGGATGATAACTAAAAATTCGGATATGTCCAACAAGAAAATCCATTCAATAGTAATGTATTGGATGCTACCAGTACAAAGTTGCACAGAGAGATAAACAGGCAATAAAAGAAAATTTCCTCATATATACTAATTTATATTACTATGAATTTGATGTTTGATTAGGGATTGAAATGAAAATTCAGAGAAAAGGGAAAATATGGACCGCCAGAAATTATACATTTTGTGAGATAAAAACAGACCACAAAGACCATTGGACACACACATACATACACACACCCTTCCATAATATCACATTTAGCTATTAGTATAGATAAGAAAGGGAGGAACATGGGGTAACATTATGTTTATAGTCAAGGAATGAGTCATAGTAAATACTTTTTGTTGTTCTCTTTATCTCTCACCCACCTCCCTCCATCAACAATGGTTTCTGTTCTTGGACATGGTACACATTAATAACTGATAATTCATACTAGAAAATACCATAGAAACCCTTTCCTTTCTTTCCTCTCTACTTATTTGGATCCCAGGCAGATAGGTTTCCCTCACCTCAAAAGAAGTGGGAGAAAGTTGGACATTGACTAAGGAAAGTACCTGATGAAAACAGGATGTCATCTACCTTAAGGTTGATGTCAGAATTTGCATAAATAAAACATATTTCATTGTTTGATATGGACAATACACATCGGCCCTACATAGCATCCACTTCATTATGGTAATAATATGTATTTCTTAAAAGCATGATGTGGAATGCCATTCTGACGTGATCCCACACTAAAATATCATTGCCCTTTACCACAAGCCACATGGTCAGGTCTTGCAGAGTTGGTGAGTTGGTACCCAATTTGTTGTTTCAATTGTTCTGTTTCAATTGTTTCCTCTGTTCTCTGGTTCTTTGGCAATTCCCTAGCCAAAGGGAATCAAGTGTATAGGTCTTGGCCTGTTTTATTTATTAATGATATACTGCCTATCACAGTTTTATACCTTAAGACGTCTCCAGGTTCTCAGGTTGGATGTCTACAAGAAATGTAGGCTGAAATCACTGAGTTATCAAATTATCCCCTCTCTCCACTGAAGTGGAATCTTTATATGTGTTTATCAGAGCTGCATTTAACTTTTCATGTGCTTATGTCTGAATCCTTTGAAGAGATCACAGATTTCTTGAGATCAGGGACTCTATAGTCTTCTCAGTAGTGCCTTATATCTTGCTGACATATGATGATGCTTTTATATACAGTGAAGGCACCTGAATTTAGCTATGAGACAGTTAGTTTTAAGAATTCCAAATGTTTACACCGAATAAATCTTACATATTTCAAAAGCATAATGTCAATATGTTTGGTTAAATATAAAATATTTTTTTAAAAAATCATAGCTATTCGAATTCCCTTTGAAATAGAAAAGAAATTGGGATACAATATGGTAAGAGTTTTACATTTTTTATGATATAAGTAAATTCAAGAATGGAAATAATAGAAACAACACATAATAAATTTATAAAGTACCCAATATAGATCCATGGGAGAATATGAGCTAGGCCAGCTACAAATAATATAAACATAATTTCCCAAATTTAAAGACCTACACAAAAGAAACAAAATTCTAATGGTCTTAAAGTGATTCCAGTGACAGTATAATACTTTAAAACAAAACTAGCTTTAAAAAAAATGTGGTTACCATTTCAGTGATAAAAAAAAATTATGTCAAATTAGAAAAATGAGTTTTCTTATATGAATTCTAATAATTTAGCATTCTAATTTCTTGACCTCCAAGCGCTTTACTCTTCGAAAGTTCATGAAAAGTAGACTATGAGAAAAATGGTTGATAACATTTTAGCTGATCAGTGCCATTTTTATCTTTATACTGATGGGGATTAACCAAGGTAAAAGAAGTAATAAAAACTAATATATTAAAAGAAATTCTATAGTTAGTTATCACTTTTAATTTCCCCATATTATGTATTTTTTCACACTCCATGGACAAATAAGAATGAACTATATTTGACTCTCTGTAAGTGTCACAGCTCAGCAGTAAAAAAAAAAATCTAAAATTTGTAAAACTTGCTCAAATCTTTGGAAAAAAGACAGGGCATTTATGTGTGTGTGTGTGTGTGTGTGTGTGTGTGTGTGTGTGTGTGTGTGTTTGTGCATGTCTATGTACTAGTCTGCATGTTTATAGAGAGATAGAAATAACAGAACATAACTGATTTCATAAATAGATTTTCTGGGAATGATTTGCAAATAAGGAATCATAATTTTGACTCCCTAATATTCATAATTACATTAATATTGAATTATACAAGTTATATTCATAATTTATAGAACTCATTAAGTTCTAGGAGTAAATATAACTACTACATATTTAAATGGATATTCCTGATATAGGAACCTAGTTGTCTTTCCCTAAAGTAAAAAGGAACAAGCTTGTGAAATGACTGTTGCTTATGTACATTTTGGGGGACTTTCACAGTCTCAAGATGTTTTAGATAGTTAAAATTTCCAGAGGAACTGTATCACTGCCTCATTACAGGATATCCTCAATACAGGATATTACCTCGGGGAATTGAGAGTACAAATGGGATGGAAGGTGAGCTGGATAATATGTTTGGAGCACATTCCCAGGATCTCAGCTATGTTGCTTGCATGCAGAATGGCCAATGAAAAAGTCTCCCAAGGAGTAGATAAATGGTTATTTATATTGGTCTTTGCCATTATAGCTTTTGCCATTTGCCACTCATGTCTCTCTTCTTCTAAAATATGAATTGGCTAGTTCCTGGGAGATTCTATCATTTTTATGTGTGGATTTTCTCTCATAAGTTGTAAGCCCCTTGAATTGCAATCTTTTGCAATCAATCTTTTTCATTTTTTAGGTATTTGTTTTTTGTTTGAATGTTTCAACAACCTAAATAACAGCATTATAAGGACTTCTCTCTGAAAAATGGGTGAAATTATTAAGTACAGGTAAAAGAGCATTGAAACATTTTAAAGGAACTAAAATTTAGGATTACAAATATACTCTATGGGATCCCTGGGTGGCGCAGCGGTTTGGCGCCTGCCTTTGGCACAGGGCGCGATCCTGGAGACCCCGGATCGAATCCCACGTCAGGCTCCCAGTGCATGGGGCCTGCTTCTCCCTCTGCCTGTGTCTCTGCCTCTGTCTCTCTCTCTCTGACTATCATAAATAAATAAAAATTAAAAAAAACAAATATACTCTATGAACAGACTATACAGTCTTCATAATCACATGGAGTCATTTGTAAGCTAACCATCTTATGCATCTAGCAGTGAATCTATAAAGTCTGCTTTCCTAACAAATACTATCATTTTCACACATGGTCAGTGATGAATCCCTACTCCTTAACTGAATGATTACGAAACAATGACATGGGAAGGACTGCCTTTAAAAGCGTCTCTCCAGTTATAGTATCACGGCAATAGTCAGTCTTAAGCCTTTAGGACTCCTTATAATTTTTCCAGGAGGGAAAAGCTGAGTATAAATAAAATCTGAAAATAAATAAATAAATAAAATCTGAGTGGACAGAATTAATATACATATTTTTAGAAATTGAAGAAAGGTGAGCTTTGGTACTCAGTCAAGGAAATATTAAAGCCATTGCATATGACAGAATCAAGGAAAGAACTCAGTTTCAGGCAAGAAACAGTAACCAAAGGACACATTTTCCAATGTGATGGAATAAAAGTTGTAATATTTTCTATGTACACTAGGGGCTACATACAAAGTACACAAATACAAAGCGCTAAATACAGAATATGCTCACCTGGGCACAGAGCAATATTACAAGGCTTATGATGTGTTTCAGGTCCTTCACATGGCCTTCCTCCATACTGAGGAGGTGTGCACGACCTTGTTCTTGTTCTTTGGCCTCGACCACATGTAAATGAACATAAACTCCATGGTGACCACTCCTCCCATACTCCATGTACTGTAATAAAGCAAAGAAGCTTCAACAACAAAAGCAGAGAGATAAAGTCCAAGATTTTTTTTCTTAATTATGAAAGAAAAAAAATCATCAAGTAGATAAGAATGAAGATATCCTAAAAGCTCAGTTAACATTCTTAATGCCAAAACCCTACAAAAGTTAATTTGAAAATTCATTAAAATAATGCAAAATGGCATGTACTTTGTTTCTGTACTTGAACAGTTATTTATGTCATAAATTTAAATATTTTCTTTTTTAATGTAAATGCACCTCTCTTTCATGGTAGAGTGGTCATGAATTATTTTTAAATAAAAGTAATATAAACTTATAAGGTAGTATAGAAAACTAAATTTCTTATAACAGATATGATCTTCCAGAGTTATATTTGCATATAAGTATAAAAGGGCCAACTTAATTCTTCCAACAACTACAAAATTTCAGGATTCATGACTGATGGTGTCAAAAATGAAAAAAAAAATCTGAAAGTTAATGATACATATTTTAAATAGCTTATTAGCTTCATGTTTTAGAAAATAAATGTATTTTTTCCATTTTAAAAAAATGTGAGGGGATCCCTGGGTGGCGCAGCGGTTTGGCGCCTGCCTTTGGCCCAGGGCGCGATCCTGGAGACCCGGGATCGAATCCCACGTCGGGCTCCCGGTGCACGGAGCCTGCTTCTCCCTCTGCCTGTGTCTCTGCCTCTCTCTCCCTCTCTCTCTGTGTGACTATCATAAATAAATAAAAATTTAAAAAAAAAATGTGAGTATTTAAAGTCACTGTTTTTGAATAAGAGGGAAATTTCAAAAACTGTATCTGCTCGCATAAGATTCTCGTCTTTGCCCTCTTTTAAATTGACTGGCAAATATGAAGATTTCTTCCTTTTTGCAATAACTTGATATGCTGGAAATCCTGCTAATAAAAATTTCTAGAGAAAGCAAATGATCTAATTAGGATTATTCCTAACATAAGTATACATACATTGATACTTCAATTATGCCATTACAATGAATTCAAATTAGTAAGAAATATTAACATAATTTGTGTTCCTCCATAATAGCCACTGTGAATACATATTGACACATTTTGCAAGAAGTCCATTAGAGTTCTAAGTTTAGACCCTTCTTTGTCATGATCAAATCACCAATTTCATCCCAATTTTCAATATTTAGGATAGTAAGGAATAGCACTCTGTGGGTAATACAAATAAAAAGAAGCTGGGGAAAATGTGCTCTTTGGTTCAAAAGCTCCTGTCTTGATGTTGAGCCTCTGGTCTTAGTATGCTCTTAGGAGTTCATAAACATAAGTTTGATATGACACCAACTAGAATTAGGAGGGGAAGTAGAAATTTATAATGAGTGATGAAAAAAAATTCACTTTCTCTCAACATCGGTGGGGGTAAGCGGAATCAATATAAAGTGTCAGAGGAGTTATGCGAGTAAATATAGTATATCTAGAATATTTCACATATATATACTAACCAAGTTATTACTTTAAAAACACATATATAATACGTGTTTTAAAGTTATTACTTTAAAAACACATACATAATACTTTAATTCTTCTATTTATGCTATTGAGTTGCCTCAACTGGTTATGAAAATATATTGCAATGTTGAAAAAGCCAAGTTTGTGTAATAGTGAAAAATTCTTCAAGTTTCTGAGAAATTTGCTGGAAAATATATTTTTTAAATATTACATAGAAAAAAGTAAGATAGTGAAAGAAATTAATATATTTACATTTTTCTCATTTAAGTTGGAAAACCAAAGCACTTTGTATCCATTGTCATAAGAATAAATAATGAATCTGTATTTAACTCTAAGGAAAAAAATGCACATATACATATATTTATATATAGGTTATATATGATCAACGATAGCAAAATATTTTTAAAATATTATATGTGAATGTATTTTGTCATATAAAACATATATCTTTAATTGTTTGTTTCTTTTAATTACCAAGATTTCTCAATTTAAAAACAATCCTTTCTACCCCTATTATCTATATAATAGAAGTGTTTTAAATGTTAACAGACCATATCGTATTCATATTGCTGATCCTGTTAATTTTCTCCTCAATCAAATCACACTGCCCTGTATTCCTTGAACAAAGCCTGAAAAAAAAAAGTGCTAAACTGGAAGATTTTTCTCTATTAACCTCAAAGAAATGTTGATTAATCTTGATGGTTTAGTTAAATCATGAAGCTGGAATCCTTTGAAAAGTATGTTACTTCCTACTGTTTAACAATCTTTATTGTCCCATGGTGAAACTTCATGGCTCCTCCACAACATTTTTAAAAAATCAAAAAATACTTTTTTTATTTGAAAAGGAAAAAAATTATTAATATATTTTTTATTTTAGATACTATTGAATTAGTCAGAAATTATAACACATATCATAATTTTATAGATGCTATTCATAATATTTATGTTAAGGAATAAAGATATTTTATATTAGAGGCAAATTATTATATAAATTCTTTTACCTTTCAGTAAAGTATGAAAATCTGTAAATAATCTATTCATTTGGATAATATGCTTAATAAAATCAAGAAACTTAGATTAATCCATATTTATACTTTTCTTCTTTACTTAGACACTAGCTGTATTATCGCATCCCTACTCTGTGCTATCTAGAGGTGAAATGAGGAATATACGATATATAAATTATATTACTACCAGATTTCGAAATAAGCATACAAATTAACTTATAATTTACATTGATACATATAAAATAATTCCTTTAATTGAAAAGTTTTTTCCTTAAGAAATATATAGATGTGGATACTGTGACATTTACGAAAAAAAAAAATCGAAACTATTCCTCAGCCCAAATAAACTTCTAAAGGATTAGAAGACATATTGAGTAGACCAGTGGTTCTCAACCAGGGGTAATTTTGCCCCGCAGGGGACATTTAGCAACGTCCAGAGAAATTTTTGTGCTGAGTTATAAGAATTTTTGAAGAGCCTATAATGTCAAAGCAACAATGTGCAAAAGGCTGGGTGCCTTAGGATCCAGATTAGAAGTAACACATTATACTGCAATTTAATTAAGAAAACTCTTCTTTGAAATTAGAATAATACGGGTGAAAGGGGACTAATTTATAAGACTATGGATTAGGCTTTAGCAATGCAAATAAATACAAGCTCAAATTCTATTATTACACATATTTTATGGAAAGTGGCTTTGACATTCATTTTGTCCTTGTGTCATTTTCATTAATTAAATGCCAAACACTTGAATATCCACAATGTAACAACTAGGTTATTGATTCCTGAACTAATTTTCTTTTGGGAATTTAAAGTATTATTTTAGAAAGATACTTCCATCGTTTAGGTACTATTTAAGTTTTTAAATTCACTTTTGGTTTTTGTTTTCATGATATATCAAAAAAAGTGCATATTTACCAGCATGGCAAGTAACTGAACAAAATATTGAACACAACATATTTCATAACAAATATAATAACCATCTAAAAGATAGCCCAATTTCCTATAGTGAAATACTTATTCTATATTTTTAAAATAACGAAGTTGCTAAATTAGTGCTCAGTTTTAGAAAATTAAAGAAATCAATGAAACTTTCCATTCTCTTAAATTCAACATCTGAACTATCACAATGATTAAAAGATACATTTTTCTTATTGTCAGTACTATTTAACCAAATTTAGAAAGAAAAGTCTATAGTATATGAAGGTGAAGAGTAACTAATGATTAATATGTATTTCTTCAGTAAATGGTAGGAGGTTAAGAAATTAGGAAAAACTGTACAATCAGAATATAATTCAGTTTTCTAAACGTCAGACACAGAGTGAAAGGGAAAGCACTCTGGTCCCACTACAGATGCTCTCTTTGCCCAGTGAAGGGATTAATCAGCAGTCTCTGGCAGAAAGATGGAGGTTTCCATATGTCAACCATATGAATGCGCATGACAAGTGGTTGGAAAGTAAGCACTGTATGGAGAATTGTGAACACTTTAACACCCTCTCAGATTTCCACTTGGGTACCCATTTGCCATTAGACTCTACCCCCTTGTATGTTGAAGGGAATTTGACTTTTCAGAAGGATGCTGACAAGATAAATGTATATATCAAGCACAGCTTAATTCTCTATTGACACTTTTCTCATTCCCCAGAATAGGAAGCTTGATCCTGCAACCTTTAACATAAGTCCTGTAAATAGGAGCCAGCTTTAAGTATGAGACAACGTACTCTACCCACACCCAGCTGAAAATCCATAAGCATTTACTCATGGGGTCCTTTAAGGTATAAAATGTAGAAATTTGAAATTCTGGAAACCCCCAGGTCATTTTCCTTCTCTTGCCAAACAGACCTAGAATCTGTTCTCTGACCTTTGTTTTTTTTTGTCTTTTCATTGTTCTCCTCTTCCATGATCTCCATAAGCACTTTTTCCCTCTGATTTTTTTTTTCACTTGATGTTCCTTCTCATCTAGTTTAATTCCCACTGACTCTCATTGATTTATCTTGCTTTCAGTGGAAATTATTGCTGCTTCCTGCTAATTCTGTCTTGCCTTCCTCATAGTTTCCTGCCCTGTTTAGCTTTTACTTCTTCCTTCATCTGTGGCTTTGAATCTCCTCATTCCATTATAAAGGGATTTCCCATCTCATGTATCAGCTCTCCTCCACATTCTGCCCACCACTTCCTTTCTCTTTTGTTTCTTCCAGATTGTCTTTTCTTTTATTGTGACAAAAAAAAATACATAACAGAAAATTTATCATCTAGACTATTTTTAAGTGTACAATTCAGCAGTGTTAAATATATTCCCATTGTTGTAAAACAGTCTCCAGAACTTACTCATTTTGCAAATCAAAACCCTGTACCCATTAAAAAACAACTCCTCCAGACTGTCTTGTAATGGGCTGCCCTTGCTCATTCTGCTAGGAAATTGGGATTATCCCTGTCTTTCCCCCATGCCACCCACTCTCTACTCTTGCTTTTAGCAACTGCAAAATCAGCCATCTCTGGAAATGGAACTCATCAGAAACTTTTACACACAATTTAACAGATGAAAAGCTGCTGCAGTGCTGGTCCCTCTCTTTATACCCACACCTTTTGGAGGCTACTGGAAAGGCTGTGAATGCAAAATCAGTGTCAGCTGCAATGATCAATAAATTTGCATCACCCATTCATCAAATAGTTGAATAAAAATATAAACCTGGGGATTCATAATATCATGTGCTTTGGAATTCTTGAAAGAAAGCCCAAATTCCTTTTAGTACTTATTTTTACATGAAAGTCATTAATTTAAGAAGGAGGAATGCTTGTAATATGCACGTAGGCCTCAAATGAGAACAAAATGTTGATGTAACATGGAAAATCTCACCCTATGTGGACAAGTTACTGTGATGTGCTCCATTTAACATTGAGGATCCCCCCACCCGCCTCCATAATGGCCATAAGGTTTACAATGCAGTGGATTGCTCAGATGAGGACAGTCACTAGAATGAAATAAATTAACAGAATGTCCTTTGGATCAAGGGAATTACTTTCTCTGATAGAGCTAAATAAGTGATGTTTTCCTAAACAGCTGACTGCTTTAAAGATTGTATCAACCACTGCCTAAAACAATGACATTTCCAGTATGCCTGTAGTGCCTCAAACATTCAACTGGATGCTTTTACCACCTGGAATAAGGAAAGTTATTATAATCTCAAGTATTATTAGAAACAGATACAGAAATTTCAAGCATATAGTTACAGTGGAGCGGGAGTCACTTATGTAGTTTCCTGACTGCTCTGAAAGCAGAAATAATTACATATATAACAAAATTTTACAGTTGAATAAGAATTAAACTTATCCACTCTAATTAAAAAGTCTATACCCAGTTCATATGAAAATAACAAATCTTTCCAAATGCGTAGCATGACACAATTCAATAACATCCACAGTTGTAGTTGCTGCTAACACTACCTGGACAGAGGGCAGTGTTATTGCAAACCCTTGATTCTCTTAATGGGCCGCTGCAGTGTGTCCCGTAAGGTGATACACAAGTTCTGGTTCGCACCTGCGACCCTTGACCACAAGTAACTGAGCATGTGCTCCACTGGGACCACTCTTCCACACCAGATTCACCTGTGTGCAAGACAACAAATAAACATGAAATACTGTTTTGAATATTCATCTACTAAGCATCATACCAAGCTGACATTATGACATGCAAGAATAATTTAAATGTAAAAATGTGACACTACATCAAAAGGTACAAGGAAACATTTCAGAGAAAATACATGTAAAGAGAGATACATATTACACTGATGCAAGGTCCAAGTTTGTTATAACCTTGTTAGCAAAACTACTCTTCACAAAGACACTGTGCTACTGATACTACGAAGGGACCAGTTAGCATTTTTCAAAAACAATGATTGCTGAAAGGATTCTCTTAGAGCCAATCTAAGGCTTTGTCCTTTGGATAGGAGAGGAAGTAAAATGTATTGCTAAACTTACTCTGGCTTTCGTGAGCAGGGGTATATTGATGTATATATTTTACCCTAACCCTTTTTGGGTAGCCTCCTTTCTAATGCTGGATGAGGGGGAGCCCTGGGAGTTTGGGCATATCTAATTTTTATTGTGTTAAATACTGACTCTTATTTATAGTTTATTCCTAGAGCAATTCTTACTTTTCTATCCTATGACAGCTATTTATTTTGTGATAATTTGTTTAAAAACCTTCTGCTCACAATTTTCCTCATGATCTAGTGTAGAGGAGTGAGTTTTATTAAAATGAAGGAAGATTTCTCGTATGATTTCTATTAATTTATTCAAAATAGGGCCCTAAAAAGCCAATGGATGTCTGAATTCATTAATTTTCTTAGAGTAAGCATCCCACTAAAATTATGTCTAGTTTCTATTATTATGTAAGTCATGTCCCAAAAAGACTTAAAGTCAAGAATTTCTGAGACCATCACAATGGGCTTCCAATTCTATTCTGATATCATGTTCAGGATAGATTTTTAACACTGATTTGAAAACTTGCAGTTGCTTTTCCTCCCCAAATACAAAATTGGGGCATTTACCTGCCAGCAGGAAGAATTTAAATTATTTAGAAAGGTTTGCAGGTGAAGTAATTCTGAATATTTTGTATCACCGATTATATAAACCAAGGAACAATTTATAGTTTACAAATTCTGTTTTTAAAAAAGAATATGATAATCTATTTGTCCATCTTTTTTTTTTTTTTTTTTTGAAAGGTTAGTAAATGACTTGGAAATTACTTGCAGTGCTACTCAACGCAGCTGGTCCTTAGACTGGTACTCCAGGACAGAAGGAGGATGAACCAGAATGTAACTCAACTTGCTGAATTGAAATTCTACACTGAGAATTTCTTTTTTCCAAACAAACAAACAAAAAAGTCAGCTGAAATAAAACATGTGCTTGATAAAGTAGTTGAATTTACATTCTGGTATAAGCTTCTTATCTCCTCAGGGGCCCATTAAAAACTAGTTTGCAGATAAGCATAGGTCCACCAACCACAATTTGGGTAGCACCATTGTAAAGATTTGTGCTTAAATTGGTCTGCATTATGTACCCAGAGGCATAGATTAAAGGCATTTATGACTAGCTATATATCATAAGGGCACAGACAGTGGTAACTGGGATGATGCATTTCATTAAATAGGACTTTTTTTCAGCGTTGGATCAGTGTTTGTCCTGAAAGTACTCTATAGATTACCCTTGATTATTTAAGTCTTTTTTTCCCTTCACCAATTTATATTTAACTACTTCATAAAAATGTTATTGGATGATCATCTGAATAATATTTAAAAGCAAGCCTCATAATTTTTCTATTATGTTAAAGAATACTCTAAACATTAAACATTAAAAATGATTATTCTAGAACCCAATAATATGTTAATGGTTAAAACATATATCCACACATATATGTATATATGAATATATATATTTAGGGATGAAAAATTTAAAGTGTAAAATTCAGAAAAATATAATGCAAAGCTTTTTTTTGGGTATTTCAACCTGTGTTGTGATGAGAGTAAGTGACGTAGAAATATTACGGCTGTATCTTATTAACAGCAAGAAAATCTTGAACAATATGAATTCCAAAAGTAAAATGATAAAGATTATGAATAATATTAGTTACATTTTTCCACAAAAGCAGCCCTCTTACCCTTGCATTGTTATGCTGGCAGTAAAAATGTTTTAATCAAACTGAGCAATGCATCAGGATCAATATCTATTTTTAAATATATTTCTGTACAAATATTTAAAAATCTGGGTTGCTCCTGAATGTATACCATAATGATGTTGAACAGGCTAAGCAGTGATGCGTAGATCATAAGAGATTGGTAATTAGTGCTCAGAATTGGCCTTCTTCACTCACTCAAATTTATGGTTCATTTTGTTGATCAGAAACAAAATAAATAAATGAGTAAAATATATATTGGCTTTCAAATTACGAATCAAATTTTGCCACTCAAATACCAGCCTACCTACCAAAATGACCTCATTATATCTCCAATGGTATAGTTTCCAGTGACATTTCCACTAAAGAGTTATGATTTCCATGCTGCCACTTCATTCTGAAAAGACTATTCTAGTCAACCACTTTGGATGACTGTGAGAAACAGCTCATATACTTTATGAGAAAGATATATATATATTAAACTTGCTGACATTAAAATAGTGAAGTTTGATACAAAATATACTATTTTTAATATGTGTGTCTTTGAAGATAGCACAAACTTCTCTGGTTCGTTAACTTGTAACAGAAAAGCACATTAAACAGCATGGAGATGGCTTCAGTATCTAAGGCGCTATTTATCCTGACACAAACCATGAAAGGGGACTGAAAAAAACACTGCAATCAAAGTCAGAAGACCTGTGTTTGACAGGAAGCTCCTGAAAATTAGTTCTGTGACCTTGAGAAAGTCACTTTATGTCTCTGAAGCTTTCAATAAAATGGGTAATACATCTACCTCAAACTGTATGTGTGAGGATCAAAGCAGATCATAGATAAAAGTGGATTTTAAATTATAGACAAAATATTATTATCAAATGCTAGTATGTTTTGCTAGTATGTTAAAATCATTAAATTAGAAACATACTTTTATTTTTGTATTTCTGTTTTAGATAACATTCTATACATTACTAATAGAGACACTTTTCTCTGCTGGAATACAGGGCCACTTTTAAAACATGCTTGTAAGAGCTTTTGATGAGTACGATGTTAAAAAGCACCAGTAAGTGCAATTAAATTGTCTTAAGCCATCTTCTGGCATTTAATTTAGATGCCTATATTGAATATCTGTATCTTATCACTTTATTTTATTTCTCCTTACCATAAATATAAATTGTGCTTTTGGAGCACTGATCACTTATATTTAAACTAGTCTATCTCAATTACTGGACTGGCCAAAATGATCAAATTATTTTGATAAAGTAATATTACTTTACCAAATGTTACTCTTTTAAAAACAATTTCCACTCATGTTATTGCTCTATCGAAGCTTACTTTTCAGATACAGGGTTTACTGATCATATTGGTTGAAGAAGCCAGGTTATCATTTTGAGAAGTAATTCTTAATTATAAAGGCTTATAGTTTTACTTTGTTTTCCCCCATGACTAATATAAAATACATAATAATAATGTCTTTTATCATTCAGTTTTACCTCTATTGTATTTTTCTTCATTCTCAAACTATGTTAACAAATGTTTATCATTGTTTATATGTAACACAAATTTCCTGGTTTGAAAGACCAATAGAAAAGTTTTATAAGTAAACCCTAATTTTTGTAAGATTTGGTTGTGTGACACTTAGATGTATTCAATCGGACTAACTACCTTCACACCTACAGAGAGTATAATCTCAGAAAATATTGAAGGAAAAAACAGCCTCTCTCTAACTTTATAATTGCTTCATACCAAATGACATTTTAAAAACTATTTAAAATAATGCAGTTTTCCAGTCTTTTATCAGTATTGTAGTGATTTAAATTAAAAATAAGTATTATACATTTACCTATACTGTTTGTGCTTTAAAATAAAATAATAAATATTTATTGTGCATCAATTCAAGCAGCCAATCAATGTTTTCAGAATTTAAGTTTTCATTGCCTTCTCTGAATTATTGTTAACAATATACGGAAATGGTTTTAATGCTCCTCATGGATCTATTTAATAAGTGTCTAATCTACTCTACCAAATCATGTATATTTTATTTTATTTTATTTTTTTAGAGATTTTATTTATTTATTCATAGAGACACAGAGAGAGAGAGAGAGGGACAGAGGCAAGGCATAGGGAGAAGCAGGCTCCATGCAGGGAGCCTGACATGGGACTCGATTCAGGGTCCCCAGGATCAAACCCCAGGCTGCAGGCGGCGCTAAACCGCTGCGCCACCGGGGCTGCCCTCATGTATCATATTTTAGATACAAAACAATGCTTGAAAAAGAACCAGTAAATGAAAACAGAAATTAGTAATTTCTCACTAAGAAAACATAATGTTCCTTGTGATTTGAATTTGTAAAAAAGGTTTTGGCTTAAAACTGAATTCTCTTAGTTTATGTCATAGGCAAATATAAAAAGTGAATTTATATAAAGTCTCTTGGCCAATTTTTATAATATTTATGCATCAACTAACTTTACTACAATATTGGGAACTTAAAACTATAGCTCACTATTTCACTCCCAGAGACCCCACTTTTAAGAAGTTTCAGTAACCCAATGACTGACATCTCTTTAACAAAAAGGAAGAACATCTCTGATCTTGCAGAAATTCCCCTGTGAGATGACACCCAAAGGAGGCTGAGCCATCAGCCCATGCCCTATGCCTCTCTTTAGAGTCAAATATTTCCCAATTTCTGGTCAGTGGTTGGGACCTTTTGCTCTGTGCAAGGAGAAAAATACATTTAACAATTTGAAAATTTACTTGACCCTGGCAATGCACTTTTGGACCTGTTCAAGCAAATAGTAAAAATATATCACCTTTATTAAATAAGAAGTTGCACAAAAAGCAATCCAGATAAGCAAGTTTTCTTCAGTTTTAGGGTCTGGTTGCAACATATATATTTAAAAAGCTAAAAATATGTCCTTAATGTAGAATTTATTGTAAGCATCCTTCCTTTTGCAAGCATTCTTTGACCTACTTACAGCTAATGTGTTAAACTCTACTACTCACCCATTACCAAGAGCACAATCCATTAAGAATATTTGCATTTTAAGTTGTAGATTCAAATCTAAGGTTCAGAATAAATATCCTAAGAAAATATAAACTAAAGGAAATATTCATTCAAGAGAATTTCACCAAAATCAGTCAATGTCATGTCAAAAAGCTGATCAAGTACTTGACACTTCATTATTAATGGTAAAACAGATAATCCAGACTGGAATATATCAAACTTTATAAAGACATAGATAAAACTGTTAGTCTGCAATTTTCTGAAAATGTTCATAACACAGTTTAAATACATTTTCATCTAAAATGTACTCCATGCAATGTAAACAGATGGAATTATAGCCCATTTATTATGATGAACCAACATATGAATGCAATTAATTGTACTATATGTATATAAACAAATAAATTTTTTGAGGGAGGTATTTGAAAGTAATCTAATTAGTTTAGGATTAAAAATTTTACAAACCAGAAAGTGATTTTTGTTGATATTTAATTGTTTGGAATGCATTATAGCTTACTAATAAACACTGACCATTTTTTTTTATTATTTAGCTTATTGAGTAAAACTCTCTTTTCAAATAAAAAAAATAAATTCTGAAAAATGTTTCTAATTTCCATACATTTTAACATTTAATATTTATATGATGTATGACAATTGAAAAAAAATGTTTGACATCTTATTGCTAAGTTAATTTTCATCATTTAAAGACCTATTTAAAATTCTAATTCTAAAATGTCCTATAATAGCCAATTATTGATGGAATAACTCTGTTAACTTTAAAAGTTTAATGATACAGTTCAAGCAGTTAATTGATATAAGTAAATAATAATAGGTAAATCCTTAATGTCCCATACTGAAAGCAAAATAAATCTTACACATTTTTTTGTGCACTTTTCAACTCAAAGCTACTTCATTTATGGACTTTAACTGGTGACAGAAAAAAAAAATGGCTCAAAAAATATCAGCTCCAAAAACTGACAAATGTGCAGCAAAAGATTATGAAAACATGCAGTGGTTTCATTAAATTAACAACAATAAATAGAAAAATGTAACTAACGTATTACCAGTTTGTGCCATAAATTTAGCAGCATCAGCTTGCTCCTGAGGGACCCTTTTTTCATGAACAGATCGAGGTCGCTGACTTTTAATTGTATGATCTCCCATCATTCCAAATTCTAAAGACAGAATAAAGGTATATGAAAGCTTGTGTGTAGACATTTCTCACAAATTACATTACTGTCTCATGCAATATGTTCCTGCGTATACCTAGAAGCTACTGATTAAATTTACAATTCTAAATTTGCAAGGCTGAATCTACTTGGAATATTTCTAAACTACTTGGAATATTTCTAAACATATAGTCAAAAAATCTATAAACAAGAGCAAGGTTTCAAGAAACAGTAACAGTCGGTAGAATGACACATCAGGTTTTAAGTTAGCTTAATGAACAAATAGTGTACGCTTTTCTGATAATGTTTCCAAGCAATACATCAGAAAAAATACAACCACAGTGTTAACTGTTGTTTTTCAGAGAGAAAATCCTGACTGTATGACAGCCATTGTTCTGCTGAGTAGTAATTACCCCCCAAGTTTTTCAGCACTTTTCCTGTGGAATCAATATTCCTGTAACCTGGCTTTCCTAAGGCAAACATTCACTTAATGGAGTATTTGTCCAAAGATGGGGTTGCCCTTAGCGTCCTTTGAAAGCTAATTAAATACACGGTGGTTGAAGTAATTCTTATTCTCTTCTGCTCTGCCCCCAAATAGTTGCTCATCCCTTTTCTAACCATATGTAAGGCAGTGTTTTCTCTTTTAAAAGTTAGGTTTATAAAAGAGATGCTCCATGTTTCTGTTATTTTATTTAATCTTTTAAAGTTGTACCTCCTAGGAAAGGCAAAAAAAAATCTGGGCCCAACTCAGTGATAATGGGGAAGAGAAAAAAGTAAGTTGAATAAAAGACAGACTTCATGTAATATATTTTTGAAAAATTCATATGCTTGGAATTCTGCAAGAGTTCCATGCTTCTGGGACTGTTACTTTCAAATAATTTTAATAAAACAAAAGTCAAATTTATGGAATAGTTGTTGATTATGGCTCAGCAGAGGGTGGGTAGGAGAAGGGGATTCCTGAAGGGCTGGCTCTCATGGTGTTTCTGTTACATCGAGACAATTGTTGGGCCCTTAAGACCAGGACTTTAATTAATACAGGACAAAGATGATTGAGTAAAACATGTTCTACTGTTAGTGCAGATATATTGCCGGAACCAATGTCAAAATTTGAGAATGTATAATTTTATTTTTTCCAATTAATCTTTAATCTTTTGCTAAAATATTACAACTTTTGTGCAATTGAGCACTGTGTTTTGTAAACACTAATTTTACCTACATTTTTATTTTATGTAAGGAGAAAAGACTAGCACACATTTTTGTACATCCAGGCAAATTCCCACATAAATATGAATGTTTGACACTTGACAGATTGATTTGTCAGAAATTCTTTTCAGATATTCTACCCCAGAGAACATCCCAAGAGAAATCTGAGAAATCTAAATGTGTGTTTGTTTTTGTCAGTTTAGATAAAATCTAAGGCAGGAAATGGAAATCTTCATAAAACGTCAGTTGGCTTAATCTTGTAAAATTCATCATTATTTTCCACTGCTGCCAACACCCTCTCATTCCATTCATTTATGTATTCAGTATGTGCTGTCTAAACTATGTTTATTATGCTAATAAGAAGTATCTAATCACATATTGTTTAATGATTCTGGAAACTGGCTACTTAAGAAGTTATATCTAGACTTTTATGTACTACCCAGTATTTTTAAGTATTATGTGTAATTGGAAATTTTCTGGGTCTGAAACAGCAAAAGAAGTTCAATAGTAATTTTTACTAACATTATATTTTACCTTCTGTCCTCTTGAATTGATCATTTAAATTGTGTATGTGTGTGTGTATCACTGAGAACATTTAAGTCAGGATATATGTATGCATAAATAAGGTGCAGGCTTTGATGGTCACATTAAGGTCATTTTGGCACTTGGAGGGAAAAGGATACCAAAAGAAATTTTTCCATGCCTACCACTTTTTCTTCTGCTGCTGCTTCTTCTTTTCTTCTCCTCCCCCCGCCCCCCTTACAACCTCTTTTAGTAAGTAACTTTGTTACCTGTTCTAAAAGAAAACAATTCTTCAGTGGTAGCATGAGAATTGCTTACAATCTATATTCTAAGTGGATTATTTGTACAAGAACTAGAATCTTGAAGTTTATAGGTCTGAGTGTGTTGGTGGACATTGCTGAAAGAATTTTAAAAGTGTCATATTAAATTTTTAATGATTTCTCAAGTTTAAACACGAGTAAAGTACTTATCTTTAAAAATAGCATCTGTGGGAACTATTTCATATTATTAACTGGAATGTGATTTAAATCTCTCAAACAGAGATATAACACAAATTAAGTTTCAATTTTCTTCACTACGGTCACTTCTACTCAATTCTACTTATCTTCAGTCATCAATGTTATGTGAGCTTAGGGCTGACACCTAACACTGGGATATTTAGTACTGGCACAGTATTGAAGAAGAAATTCTTTAATCATCTATGAACTTGAATATATATATTTTGATAACTAAAGGTTTCAAATGGAAATTTTGATTATTTCTGTCAATACAATTTATCTGAAAAACCACTTTTAAAAACTGAGAATAGGACGGCTTGATATAACTAAGTTCCCTGTAAGATGGAAGACATACTAACAATTTTCTTTTTCTCAGGTGGAAAAACAACACTATGGTGGTATTTTTTTTAATGTTCCAGACCTATTCTTTCAGACCTAAAACAATCTGAATTTGTAAATGAATTGTGTAAACAATTATCTAACCAAGTGAGTTTCTTTTACCAATGTTTATGTGCCAAATGTTTGAAAAAAAAATACATCTTTGTTTGAGGGTTGTTGTCAATGGTTCTATCCATATCTCACAATGGGATATTTTCAAAACATGTGTGTTCCTTTTAATGATGATTTGATCTTCTTCACGTCTAATGAAAATAAAGGCCAGTTGAATCATCCAAACTTAGAAAAAAAATAAGCTATTAGTTTTGGTATTATTTTCTTATGTGGTGAATGTGAGTTGAGATAAACTTTTAACATTTACACTCTGAATAATAAAAGTTCTACATGGATTGTTGAATTATATTCATATGATTCTGAGTTGGCAAAGATAATATATACTACATTAGTTACACAAGGAAAAATAGCATAACCAAATAAAAAGATGATCTGCTTTGTGTGAGCGATGAAAAGCAAGTTATGAAATCCAATGAAGTAATATGCAGAATATTGTGTATGTATATACGGTACATGGCTTATGGAAACACAGGGTTATTTCCTACATCTTTATATTGATGGTATCAATGAAGTGGTGGGTAAATAACTATGCATGTATAAAACTCAAATGACTGGAGATGACTTTCATATTTAGGCACATTTCTCACACAATCTTTCAATATGCTTCTAGATGAAAAGCAGTAGTCTCTGGAAGACATACTCCAAGCTACATGAAAGAAAGGTTTCGAAAATTTATTGTCTTAAGAATAGTTTTATGTCTTCTCCTCCCTCATATATACAAGGATCATGAAGAAACAAAGAGACCTGAAAACTGACCCTTGATGGTCAATTGTTGGTTGTGAAGTTTTTTGTCTCGAAATCAAAGGCTCAAATAATGTGAAATTGCTGTCATCACTAAGTGAAAACACACACATCCATTTGTTATTTTATCAAATCTTTACTTTTTCAATGTGTAAGCAAGTGGAGCTATCAGATTAGTTGCTAAGTTATTACTGCAATCTATTCTGCAGTATAAATGTGAACGTTATCTGTTAACTATCTTTCCTTTGCATTTCCACAGAAACCATCCCAGCCCAGGTCACAGTTGTTTCTCAACAAACTCTCAAAGTTATGTCTTACTTATATTTTATGATCAAACTATCCAACTCCAATGCCACTACCTCCATCAACTGTTTCTTTCTTAAAATTTAATTAATTAATTAATCTGAGAAAGCCCAAGCGTGCATGAGAGAGAGAGAGAGAGAGAGAGAGACAGACAGAAAGAGCAAGCTGGGGGAGGGGTAGAGTGAGAAGGAGAAGCAGACCCCCTGGATAGGCAGGGAGCCCTATGCCAGGCTCAGTCCCAGGACCCTAGGATTATGACCTGAGCTGAAGGCAGATGCTTAACCGACTGAGCCATTCAGGTGCCCCCATGAACTATTTCCTAATCACCCAATCACTATCAGACTCTGTCTTTCTAAACTTCAATTTTATGTTGTAGCAATAATTTGACTTTCATTTGAATTTTCAGATTGTCTTATTCCGCATACTAGATTATAAACTTCTATGAGAATGAAATATGGTTTATGAGTTTTAAAATCACTTCCTACTTTGCACATAGCTGGGTTCATTATTTAGTTATTTCATAAATACATTTCATGTTAAGAGTTGCTTCTCCAAAATGTCAGATTCTAGATGTCTAGAACCCTTTTGTTAGCTTGCTTGGCGAATTGTTTGATGGGAAAGAAATAAAATTTTTAGGAAAGTACTTGAAAGTTAGTTATGTATGATCATGAAGGTCAACATTTCTTTTGTCAACAATGTAAGTTATCCATAAATATATTCAGGTTATAATTTAAATAATTGCAAAATTACTTTTTAATTTAATTTAATTTATTTTAATATTACTTTTTTAAAACTTAAATCTCAGGGACGTAAAACAAAGTTTAATGCCTTAAAAACAAAGCTTAATTTCTGTCAGTAAACATTTATTAATAACTTATGTGTTAGGCACTAAAGTTACAAAGATAAATGAAAAATAGGCTCTCACCTCTCTCCGAAGCTCCTAGCCCACAGAAGTCCTTTAAACATGACCTGAACCTTTGGTATACGTAAACTTTTTTATTTTAATCAAAAAATGAAGCTGTATTCATAGCCCACTTTCTATATTAATTTCCTAAATAGAATATCACCCTTAACTAGAATAACTTGCTAGTGTGTCTCTAAAGAGAAAAATAGATTTTTTTAAGCCATGCAACTGGACATCTGAAGTGACATTTCATTTGTCACAGCATAACAAGTATTTAACAAGGATATTAAATGTATAACTTGCTAGCAGAAGATTCTAACATCTAG